TACGTTTAAACCCCCAAAAAACCCAAATAAACATTGAAAATAACTGAAAAACATTAAAACGTCCACATTACCCAAGTTCAGCACATTAATATAAACAAAAACATTAAAAAATTAGATTAGGGCCTGCGATGCGCCCAACGGGCCGCCCGCACCCCAAACTATCCATTTTTTCATACGTGAATTTAAACCCCCAAAAAACCCAAATAAACATTGAAAATAACTCGAAAACATTAAAACGTCCACATTACCCAAGTTCAGCACATTAATATAAACAAAAACATTAAAAAATAGATAAGGGCCTGCGATGCGCCCAACGGGCCGACCGCACCCCAAACTGTCCGTTTTTCGGACGTGAATTTAAAAACCCCAAAAACCTAATAAACCTTGAAAACAACTCAAAAACATTAATATAAACAATAAAACGTCCCATTACCCAAGTTCCGCACATTAATATAAACAAAAACATGTAAAAAGAAACTAGATAAGGGCCTTCGTCGCCTTTCGCAGCCGCCGTCTACTCATCGTCGTCGCCGCCGGTGAGGTCGACGTATGAAGGTGGCTGCCAGAGGTGGGATGGCTGCCCCTGCCAGGCCGGAGGTGGAGTGGGGAAGTGGCAACGCCGGCCGGACGAGGACCTGGCCTTGTGGTCGTGCCTCGTCTTGCGGCCGGGAAACCAGCGGCCCATCATTGTCGCTGGCGGGGAGGTAGAGGAGCGATGGGATAGGGTTTGACTGTCGGGCAACGAGGAGGAACGCGTCACCGGGGAAGTGGAAGTGTGGACTCCCACCGGTCCACGACCTCCAAATTAAAAAGGACGACGACCGTTCGGCCGGGGTGGCTGCCAAGTGGGGCCGCTCGCGTCCGCGTGTGCGCCTTAAATGTGTGTGGTGGCTGGTAGGTGGGCAGCTGCCACGCGGGATCGAAGCGAACGCTGAGCAAGCGCGTCGGCATCCGTTCGTCGTCCATGTGGACGCAAAGCCAGCGGATGTTTGAGCAGGAAATGAAGCGGGCCGGACGTGAAACGGACAGAAAGTAAGGATGGAGTCGCGCGTTGGGCCGTGCGGTCTGTCCGTTTAGGACCAAACGGACAGACGTGGACATAATGAGGCCGCGCGTTGAAGTTGGTGTGAGTGTCATGTTCGCCTCCTGGACATCATTCCTGGTAGGCCGACATAGTTGGCGTGTTTCATGTGGACTCTTTTATATTTTTGGCAGGGAAAGCCGAAGAAGTACTCGATCTTGCGATGTGAGTGCCTGGCAGTGATAGCTGATAAGGCTGCTGATTTACAATGTGAGCTACTAGTGGTCTGTCCAATTTTACAATTCGATTTTGTCTTGTAAGCTAGGATTTTTCCTAAACCTGTATACATTATACGTAAGCATGTGTCAGCCGGAAAAGAAGCCAATCACTGGCAATTGGTGTCGCGAGTGTATTACAACAAATGACTTTGTTTCCATTGAAACCCGATTGAAAAGAAAAGATTAAGCAAAAAATACTGCTCATATATACATTATTCGTTCATATGATGGTTCTTCTGTGCTAAAAAACATACTTTTTGGTCATTTCTCACTGCTCAAAAGAAAGACAGTAAAAATGATCTAACTTTTTGTTCCTGCTTTTCCTTTTTTACATTCTCCCTAATTTCCCTGACATAGCTTTATCATATTTCACATTGCTACTCCAGATAGAATACATGTCAATTTTGCTTGAATGGTTTTGAGTTTTGACTGATGGGCATGCTGGTCCAACCAGCCAGCCAGTACATATCTCTTCTAGTCAAAGCCAAGTGATCTGTTTGTATAGATAATTTTTCTAATTAGATGTTGTGTGTGCCAGGCTCGTCAACATAGTCTAAATGTTTTCAATGAAATCATTATCATTAGGCAGATTACAATTTTTTTTGGAGGAAACACTCTTGTCTTCTTTGCTCTAATTTCCTAGTTGTGAAAATATATCTACTAGTTTGTTCATGTTTATGGGCATGCAATGTTACAAGATTCAGAGCACAAACATTTTTTTTTCAGGTATGATCAGTTTCACAGTTCAAAAGAGACACTCGAGGTCATTGCAGATCATGGGAGCTGTTGTATTTGTTGTTAGCATGTTATGGTTGTATTTTTTTTTTTTGCAGGTTATGTTATGGCTGTATTTTTTTATTTTTTGCATGTTATGTTATGGCTGTATTAAGATGACCGAATAATTTTACTGCATCTGTATTTAAGTTATGTTTCAGATTGCCTTTGCTATATTGCTGTTGCCATGCTTTAGCTATCTGGAGCAAGGTTGTGTGATGAATTCTTGCCTGCACATAATGTACGTAACCAAATCTTGTCAAATCAGTACATCAAGTTTTT